TCAAGTCTGTACAAACAAACTCATGAAAATTTCATGATATATATCAGTTGAGTCTCCGGTAAATATGTTATACTCAAGTATTGGTTTGTAGGGATTTGGTTGATTGGTTACAGGATTTCATCATGAGCTGACATCAGTTAGAGAACCACTGGAAAACCTGCAGGGAGTACTGGACAGCTGTTTCGTCTTAGTTTTGAACTCTTCACCAGTACGCACCCACCGCCAGGGTTCGAACCCAGGACCTTCTGGTTGCAAGGGGAGCTCGTATACCATTAAGCCACTGGGACCCAATCCAATGGTCCATGAATTCTAACTTCTGCCAATTCACGATATATCTCATGTATCTCATGAGGCAGGACCAAAAGCCTATATACAAAACTATATGCTCGCACCTTCAAGTGCAAAAACTCAGCCATACACTACTTAGCTCGTGTTCTGTGCGATAAAGAGAGCATTAGGCGTGACACCTATAATTCATCAAATAGTCAGTAGTACAACTGGACCTCGTCTTTCCAACTCATATCATTTATAGGTACAACATTTTCTTTGTTTCTTTTCCTTTTCTCTCTCTCTCTCTCTTTTTTTCCGTTATGTGCTGCTTTGTTTCTTTCTCTCGCTTACACCAGTAAATATGCTAGCATCTACTTTTCTAACACCTTCAAACACTGTTCAACTTTGGCTTCGCCACCGACATGCCAATATGTTGTTGTCCTAATGAACTGAGATTTCCTTAATCTATGTAGAATTTTATTTAGTGATAATGTACTAACTGGATGCAATACTGTAGTAAAAATGCTGAGAACTCCATTCTGTATCACAAGTACTGTTATGAAATAAAGCAAATTATTATTATTATTTATTATTATAATTATATGGTCACATGATATTATTTGTGTTAAGCTAAGTGAAAATAAATTTGATGGAATTAAATAGTTTCGTGCGTCAGTGGCATAGTGGTTAGGACGCTCGTCGACCATGCACATGGTCCGGGGTTCGGTCCCCGGCTGACGCACTCCTTTACCTCGCTAAGCCAGAAATAACGCTGGTGAAGAGGAAAGGTTGGGCATGAGGCTAGTAACCCCATCCTGTAAAATAAACACTGCTACAGAAACTTCAAGCCACTAACTTGAAGCCCTATGTTCCACAGGGAACGTGAAGGAAATAAAAAAAAATAGTTTTGGATTGCACTTTCGGTCACGTGCTGATATCAGTTGGCAGAACCATTAAAAAATCTGTAGGGAGTACTGCATGAATAGCTGTTTCATCTTAGTTTGAAACATTTCATCAGCACACACTCATCACATCAAAAGGCTAGCTGTCTTTGACCATAGGTATCTGCGTTTCATCTCCCGTGTTAGGCGGTAGGTGTAATAGGGTGAGCAATATTGAGGTAAGGCATCAATCGATTGCTAGGTAAGACGGGAAAATCTATCGATGAGGTTTTGAAGATACACCGATTGAAATGGTTAGTACCATGTGTTGCGCATGCCTAGCCTAGCCATCGCCTTCCGCGATGGGCAATGGTAGGTGACATAGGATGGATCAGGTTGGAAAACAGCCAGTGGTGGTTAAACTAAAACTTGGAATCAGTCAGTGGAATGTATAATAGTTAGTTTAAGCCACGTAATAAGGTGTAGACTGCTTAGCTGGTTGGAGTCGGGATGTGGAAAACCAATCGAGGCTGGAGACAATTGGTGATATGGCTCAAAATTGTTCTCAGTGATGGTGCAGATGTATCCACTTCTTGTGATTTATAATATCTAATAAAACTATATTGTTCCTCCATATTACTACTCTTTTTGCTTCAAATTTCTGTTTGTTATCTCTCTTTTGAATCTCTCTTTACTCTCTTCTTTTGCTTTATGTGCTACATGGAGTGTGCCAACTCGACGTGCTGCACATCTTTGCAAAGTTCTACGCTGAGTCCAGTCAGTCAGACACACTCACCAGGGTCTGGATCCAAGATCTTCCAGTTATACGGCAATCACGTAGACCATTCAGTGCCATATATTCCCCATTGGTGGGAGTTGGCATTTATGGTCCCTTGGGTGAGGTCTCATTATCTGAATTTACTACGAGCTCACCATATAACTGGGAAGTCCTGGTTGCTGAAGAGCTTCAAACAAGAACGAAGCAGCCATCTAGCAGTAGTCCCTACAGGCTTTCTAGTGATTTTCTAACTAAAATTATATAGGTTTGTCGTAAAAAACCGTAAATAAAGAATCGTAATACTACTACTGGCGATGATTAAAGAGGCAATTCAAGCAAAACGTAAAGATGAGAAGACAGAATTCAGACCAAGAGACAGATAACACGATATGTATCTTAGTGAAATACAACTTATATTTTACTAGAATTTGAAGAGATTTTCATGTTATATTCTCCACTTGACTTCATTATTATGTTTCTTTTGATTATTTTTCATAAACATACACCTGTTTGTTCTCATACTTGCGGCTTCTCTTTTCGTTACTAAGGTTTATTCATAAATAAAATTTTAGTGGACGAGAGAAACTAGACTTTCAGTCTACTACACTACTTAACAACAGCATACTACAAAATTCAAACTACAGTGAGGTTAAAAAAGTCTATCACTAGGGGAGAATGGATATTGATAAATCGATTTAAGTATAATTACCGCTTTTTTTTGTTTATTTGTTCCTGTCTTATTCAAACTGGTTTTTTTTAAAATCAAATTTCTTTAAAGAAGTAAAGTAATTTCAGTGTATATTTTTTAAACGTCCTCAAAAATATTGACAAGACTGATGAAATGGTTTCAACATAGAACTTTGCACAGAAGTGTTGGAGTACGAGTTCCTCCCCCCCCCCCACGAAACACACCTTAGAAGACAAAAGAGAAAGAAGAGATTTGGAAGTACGATAACATGCAGAAATGTGAAGTGGAAACAATAGTAACACAAAAGAACAATAGGGTTTTCTTTGGATATATCAAATCAAAGACATTGAATGCATCTGAGCCATTGAGAACGATTTCGAGCCATATCACCTATTGTCTCCAGCCATTGGTTCGTAAAATCCTGAGGATCCCAACCAGGCAGACTACACTTAAACACACCATCAAAGATTTCGTGGACTGATCCCATGTTTTGGTTTGATCCCCACTAGATATTTTCCAACTTGATCCTATGTTGGGTAACGTTCGCTGTTGAAGAAGATGATGGCTAGGCATGCGTAACATATGTATCTTCACAATCTCATCGGTACATTTTACCTCCTCTTTGCCTAGCAAGCGACGCCTACCCTACTCATCCTTTAATACCACCTAACACGAGAGATAGAACGCAGGTACCTATGATCACAGACAGCTAGCATTTTCATGTCTTCCACTCTCAATGGCCATGCCTCACTCACAGCCATAAAGGAGGACAGAGCAAACTGCTGAGCAGTACACCTATGGTCGATAGCCGGATATCACGCCTACGCCAGAGATGGCGTAAGTTGGCAGGCGAATGAATGCCAAACGAGCCTTCAGTACCGATGCTAAGATTTCATTAGCGATCAATCCACTGACACTGGCTGATGCAACTTCCCAAATATGTGAAGTGGTCAATACGCTCAGCCACCACTTCGCTCCGTATCTTCAAGCTAGGAGCCGGTGTAGTCCAGTTCTGTAGCATCATCTTACATTTGATAGGAGCGAATAGCATGCCAAATATTCGAAGATTGCTGTTCAATGTGTCCATAAGATTCTGCACTTTGCCATTCTCTGTATCTAGGAGGACTATATGATTTCCATACTCTAAATCACCAAGACTATTCCCTGGTAACAAGTCAATTACTGAGTCATTGAAGTTAGTTAGGGTTATTTCATTAGTACATCTATAATGAAAATAAACTGAAAATAGGACAGTGGGCATCCCTGACGGATACCATTAGTTTTCACCCTTTCAGACGAAAGCTCTATGTAAGCTACTACAAGGCTTCGTGAGTGGTTCGAGTAGAATGTCTTCATTAGTGCGAATACTGATAAAAAACTCTAGTGACACAGGAGACTGATATATTACTATATTATTCTCTTAAGTTCCAAGGAGAACATGGCGCTTCATCAGCACGTCTGCATTGCATTCTGTTCTGGCAATTCTTTTTAGCTTTGATCTACAATATCCTATAAACTGTAATCTCCTTCTTTCATGATTCATTTCCTCCATGTCACCTTCGAATTCACTTGACGCGTGATATTACTTAATGGTCTCTCCTCAGTGTGTGTCCAATCCAACTTAATTTGAACAATAGATAAATGTAGATTTTGATTTAAGGATAATTACACTTTTAATTCATCTGTATTGGTCAATTATGTGTTAGTTAAAGTACTAAAGATTTTTATAGTAATTATCCTCTACACTGTTATAAAACTTAAGTTCTTATCCCAGCTTTAAACAATTGTTTGATTACACCTCGTTGACCTCAGTTAAAGAAGTTTTAGACTTTACTATACGACTCAGATCAATAATCATGTTCCTTACGGTTCGATGTTATGTCTTATTATGACTATCATTATCTCTCTTGGAATTTAATCCTGATTATAAACCAATACATCTTGTGAAATATATATTAGTAGCTTGGTATTTTCGAAGAATATTCAAGTTGTTAGATAATTGGCAAGGTGCCTCGGACCACCATGGTTTCGTCCTTGTTGGTACTCATCAATCAGGAAAGCGTATCTCCAATCTTCAAGGAACTTATATCCCTCCTGAGATTTGGACCTTGACTGACCTCTGATTGAGCTGTAATGGATATTTTCATTTGGGCATAGGAAGTAACAACTTGACTGATAGAATTCTATCTGTACCAATATTAAAGACTAGATTCATGAGATTATTTACTACCCCTAGTAGTGTTCAATCAAAAAGTAATCCCAAATGTTGAATGATTTTCAGTTCATATTAGCTTTTCTGTTTTCCTGTCTCCTATTTATGCTTGTAACATTTCATCATAGTAATTTTTCGTTTTGTTTGTTTATTTATTTGTTTTTATTTTAGCAACCAGTCGGATGAACATAAAAATGAAAATGGCGATGAAAACAAAGGTATCATTATAAATAATTTTACTTATCTAATTAAATACAAGCTATATGAAAGTAAATATATATTTCAGATAGGAATAATAAGCAGAAAGCAGGAAGGAATCGAAGTCTACAAATAGTACAGTAATGAAGGAGGTTTGTTTAGGTATTCATCAAATAGCTCCTGTTTCTCTGTATTCAATATGAGACACATCATCTACAAGAATAACAACTGCATTCTTAGAATATTTACTTTTCTACCTACTTCAAGGGATAAATTGTGATATGACAAGAAATTCGCTAGTCATAGACTTCGGCGACGATCAATGTTAGCTTGTAATGACAGAAGACAAGGGCCAGGCAACAGATCGTTTATTGAGAAAATCAACAGATATTTATAGATTTTTATGTATATTATTGTCAGCGGGGAAGCAACGTCTTTTGATTGGTTGTTTTCTTGCTGAAGATTATTCTGCACTGCTTGTTACCGTTTCTCAGAAAGTTAAGTCTACTGTGATTGGTTGTTGAGTTCCTCAAGGTTAAGCTTAATAACTCTTTTTTTTTCATGATCCCGAATCGGGACGTAAACACTGACGTAAATTGCTGTCTACAATTTTGGCTTGTTCACATCCAGTTCTCATCACAAGCTAACATAGGATCAGGTTGAAAAAGATTTACAGGTGGTCAAAGAAAATCTTGGAATCAGTCCATGAAATCTTTCACAATTAGTTTGAGCCAGCTATGTTGGGAGGTATGGGTGCTTGGCTGTTTAGGGTCTCCCCGGGAGGCTATAAACCAATGAAGGCTAGAGACAATAGGTGATATGGCTCGAAATCATTGTCAATGACTCAAATGCTGCATTCACTCCTTGTGATCTCCCTATTGATTTTCTATGTTACTATTCTGCTGTCTCTCTTACATTTCTGGTTATTATCGCTCATTTGAATCTCAGCTTTTTCGTCCTTTGTGTGCTACATGGAGGGTGGTTTGTAGGGATTTGATTGATTGGTTACAGGATTTTATTGTGAGCTGAAATCGGTGAGAGAACCATTGGAAAACCTGCACGGAGTACAGGAGAGCTGTTCGAATCCCAGTGGGTACGTGCTGATGAAGAGTCCCAAACTAGGACGAAACAGCTATCTAGTACTCTTAGGTTTTCCAATGATTCTCTCACTGGTGTCAGCTCTTGATGAAATCCTGGAACATAGCATTATTTACTTACAATGTCCTATATCGGATACATTAATCTTATTTAAAATCACACACACACATACACACGTGTGTCAATGTTTGAATTACAGAGTATTTCCTAATTTCCATCAGTTAATAAATACTCGTACTAGATAATGTTGATAAAAACAATTTTACAATTTATTGTAATCTTAGAAATATATATGTTTTGTATGTCAGGGTGTTGGAGATTTTCGTGAAGACTAAAAATATGACAATGTCTGTATCTGTTCATTTGTGATCGATTTCTAATTATTTAATCTAACACCTTCAAATCATTGATTGTTAACACTTTAAGGCTTCTATTAAGTTAGCTATATGCTAACATATCATACTGAAAAACAGTTCAAGCATATCTTAAACTTGCTGTTAATGTTATTCTAGTATATAGTAGGTTGAAGTAAAAGACGCCTTCTTATTTTTGTTTAGCATGAGTGTGTGTGTGTGTGTTCACGCGTGTGAGAGATTTGTCTGATAAGTACTTCTCAGTGTCTTTTAGTGTATTAGTAACTTGACCTACAGTTTTCAGCCTGATGGTGTGTCACTTGTCAAGTGATTCACAACGGAATATTCTACGAAGCTTTCGAGTTGAAGACAGGTGAAAAACAGTGCTGCCTACTATCACCGATAATATTCCTAGATTACCTATAGAAAGACTCGAGAAGATCTCGACTTCGTGGATGATTTAATATTTAGCGTCAAATAAACTGGAAGATCTATCGGCGAAAACCAGCAGTTTGGCAGAAGAATCAGCAAAGAATTTTGATTTTTTGATTTTTGATTACAGCTTGATTCCACACCGTATTTCTTGGTACAGGTATGGAATTTTCAGCATGTGATATAGAGAGCCCAAATTTTGCAGGCCTACCATAGATATCAAGTGCGCGTCGGCAGGAGATCGAACCCCGACCATGTGCATGGTTGGCGAGAGTCCTAATCACTGTGCCACCGACTCACACAAAAACGGGCAACACCCGATATTCCCAGCCAGTAACCTATGCAAATACTAACCGGGCCCAACGTTGCTTAACTTCGGTGATCGGACGAGAACCGGTGCTTTCAACGTGGTATGGTCGCTGACAAGACTTGAAGTGAACGATGGGAGAAATTTGAAAGACGTCGCCTCTTTCACTTATCTAGGCAGAATCGTTTGAATTACACATCCAGCTCGGATGAAGATGTCAGAGTCAACCAGGATCGGACCTTCATTAATCTGAAATCAGTGGGGGAACCTTCTACACTTAACATAAAGAACAAGATTCGGATCGTCAACACTAGTGTCAAGACAGTCAGTGCTTCAGAGATTTGGCGTGTCATCGAAATCAGACTTTTATCAACAGCTGGTCAGTCAGAAAGGAATAACAGCAAAGAACTTTGTCAGCGAACCAACCTTAGAACTTATTGCCCAACAAATATGTCGGCGGAAATGGAAATCGACTGAACACACGGTGAGGAGGCTATTGAGTGACATGTCGCGCCATTTCTTCGACCTAGAAATGACAAGTTGGGTGTGCGATGGTGACATGGAGAAGATTGTGTTAGGAAGAGATGAATGCTAATGAACAATCGTGGAGCCACTCGGTGAGCACTTCAGAAAGCAGGATGAGCTGCGGGGTAGGGGCTGTTGTAGACCTATGTTCCATTGGGAAACTAAGGGAATAATAATAATAACAGTTTCCAGCCTAAATTCAACCTTGTTCAGTAGACTCCATCGTATACCTGTTATTGGTAATTCTTAACTATCCCACGGAACGTTTCATTTTCATCTGTATACCGAAAAAGAACGATTCAATGTCACGAAGTGAATGGACATTAAGACTATAACAACAAGATGAAATTAGTAGTGACAGCCTGTTATGAATACTTTTCACTTACTGATGATCATTTTGTTACTTTATTGCTAATATTAAAAAAAATTCACATGTAATTACTTTGTGTACTATATTTTAATTAAGTTCACTTCTATTCTAGAGTATCATAATATTTCTCTAATGTTCCATCCTTTTGCTTGATTTTCATCGCTTGCGTTTCGAGTGGAACGGAACATAAACCTTTCAAAGTTTCGGGTGGATAGTATTGTTGTTTTCACATGCCCATATATTGTGCTAACCTCACACTCAAACTTCCTTCTTTTTTTATCTCGGCTTACTACTGGCTAAGTGAGGTTTGAAAATGCTCCGACCAGGAGTCGAACCTGAATCTCCTTTGTGAGATTGGCTGGCATTCTGACATTTGAACCACTGCACATATCTACTGTTCCATGCTCAGTTTATTTATTTGAGGTTATATACGTCTACATTTGACGTATTAACTGCTGAATGTCACTTGTGACGTGTTTTTTTAACAGAAAATCTGAAAATCTTATAATAACCAGTTAGCTTCAGTAACATGTGAATACAGAGCATATGTTATTTGCATTGGACACTAGGTTGTGACTGATGTCATGTGTATAGTCCTTGGTGTTAGTGTAGACTGAATTCTATCAGTCAAGTTTGCAATGTGGCCACCATACTAGGTGGCTCGTCATCACAGAGCACTGTGAATTGTTGTTACAAGATGGTTGGAGAGAATCGTGAAGAAGCCTTGGACTTAGGTTTCGTGCTAGTTGTCGCTCATCAGCCAGCAAGGCGTATCTGCAATCTTCAAGGAATTCATGTCCTCTTTTCCGAAATTCGTACCAGGGATACCCAGCATTCCATACCACTGAACTACTGGGGCTCATGATTGACCTTCTATGGGACTGAAATAGATACTTTTGATCAGACACTATGTAATAACTAATCCTGATGCGTCTAGTCCTTCGTTTGCGTGAGACTGAATTCTAATAACAAGTCAGAGTTCACTGTGATGGCAAGGCACCTAGAATGGTAGCCACATTGTAAATATCACCGATAGGAGTCAGTCTACACCAATACCAAAGACTAGACTCATGACACTAGTTGCTATTTCGTGTTGAATGAAAATGTTCATTACAGTCCTACATGAGGTAGGCCAGTCGCAAAGCTGAATAGCTCGTCTCTGACTTCAGTACTGGATGGTGACCCAGGTTAGAATCTCATAAGGAAGAATATGAATTCTTTCAAGACTGCAGATACGACATGCTGATGAGTGCTGAATAAGCACGAAACTAATGTGGTACAAGGTGTCCTGCTAATTGGCTTCAATCATCTAACAGCATATGTATTGTTTATATATGCAAATATAAATTTTCACGTTAACATGTTTTGATGATATCCATAGTCGTCTTTATTTATTTTTTTCATCATAAACCAGTTCAATGTATGCGTGTATTTGGTTGACCTTCTCTTCTATAAACCAAAACAACTATACCTTACTGTGATTGAGTCAATTACTGAAATCTGTACTATTACTGCTACTACTAGTACTACAAATGCTACTCTAAGCTGTTTTGTTGTACTTCTGTTGTATAGTATAGGTGAATTTGTGTTTCACTTTACTCTATCCAAGTTGACTTTCTCATATGTTTTAGTAATTTGCAATTCAAATTACTGAATTATGACTAGGTTTATATATATACACTAGAGTATATGCGTATATATGTAGTATTTTCGATTGGTTTTATGAGGAAAAAAACAGAGGAAACATGTACATTTTGAGCAAAACAATGTAAGAAGAAGAAGAAGGAGTGATATGAAGTATATTAGATATTTATATGATCGGATTTCCACTCTTTTGTTCTATTCTGGGACTCTTCGGAAGTAGTGCATACTCCTCATCAGAAACCGAATCCAGGACCTTCAGATTACTAGAGCATGCTCGTTTGACCATCCAGCCATTCGGACTGGAATTCAATGTCCTGTGAATTCTAACTCTTCTTTCAATTCGTGCGTCGGTGGCACAGCGGTTAGGACTTTCGCCGACAATGCACATGGTCCGGGGTTCGATACCCTGCCGACGCACACCCGATATCAATGCTTGGCCTGTAAAATTTGGGCTACCGTTATCACATGCTGAAAATTCCATACTTGTACCAAAAATACGGTGTGGAATCAAGCTATAATCGAAAAAGAAAATATAGCACTTCCTCGAAAACCACTGCCTTCGACAAGAATCCATTTCACATTGCCAATGATGAACCCCACTGAAAACGATTTCTCAGTCCACAGCTTCAGGAGATCCATCCAGTAGTCATCAACAAACTTGAGATTAATAGACTGAGAAAATTCAATCTGCGCCAAACACTAAGGACTAGACAAATAACATTAACTATTATCTAGAGTCCAATCAAATTACTCATTACAGTCCCATAGAAGGCCAATCATGAAGTTGAATAGCTCTGCACTAGGTGACTTGGATCTGACTATCAGAAAAGACATGACTTCTTTTAAGATGGTAGATACACACCTTACTGACGACTGATGAGTTCCAACAAGCATGAAACCTAGGTCAAGTAACTCTTCCTCCAGATTGCCTCCAACCATCTAACCATCAAGACTATGGATTTTTGCACAGAAGTTAGAACTCAGGGGACATTGAATTATCGACCCTATTGACTGAGTGATCATCGAGCTTGGCTTCATAACCTCGTAACCCTAATCAGAATGTCCTGGATTCATTCCCTGTTGGAATCATGAGTGTGTACTACTGAAGAGTCATAAACTAGGGCAAAACAGCTGTATAATGAGTGCTCCCTGATTTTCAATGATCTGTCTAACTACTGGTTGGTTTGTGACAAAAATTAAAACAATTGAGATAGATATATAGATGCTACTTTATTCGACAAAACTGGTCATAATTAAAACAGGTCTTCCAATTACACATATATTTATGTTCGTAACTTCATTACAATAGCAGTGTAATAAAGAGTATAATAATGAGGTAGAGAGAATATTTGTCACCCGACAGTTTAAATCTACTCAAAGTTAGTTAAATGTCATACAACTAGACTGCATAAAAAAAACTGTTTAGTTCCGCTTATAGTCAGTCTCATGTGACAGTTGATTTCCACTCGAAATGAAATAAAACTTGTCAGAATTTGAAATCACTTTTGTTTAAAATAAATTAATAGTACAACTACTATTTGATTGTAGAGTAAAATATAAAGCAATGATTCGTTAAGCAAACCTAACATACTGAGTTATTGCTAATCCGTGCTTGCAATATCGCAGACAAAGAAAAATTTACTTTAAAAAGCTTTCAGGTTTGATCACGAGTTGGCAGCAGTTAATGAATTATTGGAAAACCTATGAGTACTTACTGGACTGCTGTTTCGTCCTAGTTTGGGACTTCTCATCAGTACTCACCCACTGGGGTTCGAACCCAAGACCTTCAGGTTACAAGGCAAGCTTGTATACCATTCAGACACTGTGACTAACCAAGTAGGGTAAGAGAGAAGTTACTCGTCTATGATCTTGGCAGGCGGTTGCGCTATATATATATAATCCTGGCGGTAGGTGCATACTGCCGATGAGTCCCAAACCAGGACGAAATAGCCGGCCCCTACTCCGTAGTTTTCATTGGTTCTCTAACCGATATTAATCCATAGTCGGACTTGAAATAAATCAAATCCCAACAAACAATCTCTTGAAAAATCACTAGTTTCTTGATTTTTATTTTACGCCTTCAAGCTAGTAGTCTTACATTGAAATCTGAATATATTTTGGGTTTCCAAAGGAAACCATGCTGAAGACTGTGTAGTTTACAAATAAATTAATTTGATTTGAGTGTTTTACTACTTTGCTCAAATAGCTAGCCAAAATTTGCGTGGCTTGAAGTGAGTTGACACTTTGAGCTCAGTTGAATTGGGACAAAGTGAACGAAATGTCTCTATCAGGTGTTTAGATCAACTTGATGTGGTTGGCAAGTAGTGATTCCTAACTAAATTATATCAACCAGTAGCAGTAGTGTGTATTCTGACTCAGACGTTTTTAAAATTGAACGCCGAGCTCTCCATTAAAATTCATATGACTCCTCTTTTTTCATTCATACTAATATTAATTTGGATAGATTATGGGATTTTGTAAATGGGATTCAGATTAGTTTCAAAGTAGATTTCATCAAGAATCAACATCAACTGATTGATGGCTACTGGATAGATGGATGCCTGCTGAAGCTGTACTGAGAAGTCATGACCAGTGGGATCCTCCATATCAAGGTGAAGGGGATGCTCGTCGAGGTCATTTGTTTCGGGGCTAGAGCTATGTCATGAATTCACAAGAGTTAGAATTTACGGGCCTCCAAAACCTCAGGATGGTCGGGGGTGGGTGCCTTGCGCTGCGGGTTGGCCACCCCTCTGCACACCTCTTGAAATGCTCCCATATGACCGGGCGTCTTACATAGCCTCTCCTGAGGAACTCCCACTTACTGCCTTCATGTGGCGGAGGTGTTTTTCACCAAAGTGAGAGCGTGAAAGCGGATGCCCGGTGCTCTTCACCGGGTTGACTGTCCATTGGATGACAGTCTAGGGGAGATGGCTAAACCCTGATTCCAAACCTCCAACGACTGGCGTATGAAGCCCACTGGAGCTCACCGGCAGACGTATGGACAAAGGGCTTGTTGGATGTCCTGGATGTCTGGCCCCATTCCAAAAGGCGTATGAACCGAACTCCGGTCACCGGCTGCCAATGGATAGTGAACTCCCTACTCCACTCCTACTGCCTTGTAGGTCACACTTGGTTGTGTAAAGGCTAGAGCTGCACTCTCAAACAAAAGGCCGAGCGATTCTGGGGAAATCACTCGTACCAAATTCCAATGAAACTTCATGAACTCTCTTACAACATCAACCAAATTCCAGTACTGGTCCAACAACGTCCCCTTCGGTGGTTTGGCCATGTTCTGCGCCGACCAGATGACGATCTGGTCAAATCAGTTCTAAATCCCTCGCCATTACCATCTTGGCGATGTCGCAGGGGTGGACAGCTGAAAACATGGCTTGGTACAGTCAAGGCTGATATGGAGAGCCTGGGGCTACAAACCGTCTACGGACTCCGTCTGTGGAACAAGAATTGGATAACCCTGTCGCAAAACCTTGCATCAGATCGCCGCGCCTGGGCAGCGATGATTCGAGATGTTCATGAAGCCGGCTCATCCTCCCGTAGGAGATAGCCGAAGTAAAGTAAGTAAATAAAGGTCAATCAATTCCAGTTCAAGTGGCTGAATAGTTAACGAGTATGGCTTCGTAACCTGAAAGTCTTGGATTCTATCACTGGTGGAATCGTGAGTTTGAACTGATGAGGAGTCCCGAAATGTGACAAAACAATCGTCTATTGCTCCCTTGTTTTCAGTGATCTCGCTAACTGATGTTGATTTTTGATGAAATCTAAATTGAGATTTTTTAACTGCCATTCTCTTGTATGTGCTTGTTTCACATTGTGTTGCACCATAATAATACATCTTGCCTTAAAATTTTATTTACAAGATTTAGTTTGTAGAGATTTGATTTGTTCTAGTTTTGATCAAGAACTAATGTCAGTTAGAGAGGATCATTGAAAACTAGGTGGGGGGAGTAGTGGATAGCTGTTTCATCCCAATTTGAACCTGACTCTTCAACAGTGCTCACCTGCGACCTCACTTACCAGCGATCGAACATAAGACCTTCCGATGTTCGAAGCCAATCTGTCGTCGACCATTCAGCTCTACTTTGTATCAAGAATATAAGCTGTTTACCATATTTTTCCTACTTCATTTTGTATATATCTATAAGCATGAACGTATTAGATTAGTTTGTTTGTTTCTAGAGTTTGACCATGGATTGATATCAGTTAGAGGACCATTGAAAACCATCAGCGAAGTACTGGACAGCTGTTTCATCCTAGTTTTGGAAACCATCGGCAGTATGCTTCCACTGGAGTTCGAATTGGTAGAAGTTAGAATTCATGGGCCATTGAATCGGGTCCCAGTGGCTGAATGGTATACGAGCTTGCCTTGTGACCGGAAGATCCTGGGTTTGGACCCTTATGGTGGGTGCGTACTGCCGATGATTCCCAAACTAGGATTAAACAGCTGTCCAGTACTCCAGTGATGGTTTTCAATGGTTCTCTAGCTGATATCAATCCGTATTCAAATTCGAAAAAAACCTAATCCTTATAAACCAACTCTTGGAAATTGATCTGATGTGCACTAGTGACTTCCTACAAGACGTAGTTTCTTAGAGTTCTAATGAGAAGTTGTGACCAGTAAGATCCATCCAGTTGGGAGTGAGAATGGATTTTCCGCCGATGACATTGGTTAGTGGTCGTGCTGCAATCACGTATTACTATTTGTTTTAAAATAGCTTCAACTATATGTAATTGAACTGAATTCGTAGATCGATTCTACTGTACGTCAATCAGTCTGTCTAATGTTTATTTTTTAATGAATAATAGTTTTTCGAAAGAATTCTCAAATTAAAAAAAATTCTGTGTCTTATTTAGTGCCTTGTGTGTGTGTGTGTTTGAGTAGGGGTCAAAAATACACTTCCGGTGTCTGAAGCTCCAGTATATAAGGGTCACCTCACCTCTACATCTTTATTTGTTTTCAATCTATTTGTAGTTGTTATTTTATGATTTTATTTTGTTAAAGGTTATCAATATCAGGAAAACTTACATTTTTATCAAGTATAGACTGAACTTTGAATAGCGCAGTCGATGCCTGTTTTAATTATTATCATTACTATTATTCTGTTGGCTTTTTTCTTCTCGTAAAAATGACCCCTATAAAGACTGAATGAATAATTTTCTTCTTTTTTGATTTAATTTATGAAAAAAAAACAACGACATTATTTCAGATGAAAAAGAAGCAGTTAAACAAATTGATAAGAAAGTGACTCATTCAACTGACATTTCAAAAATATCACCGTCAACTGGTTTACCTGATACAAAGCGTAAATTAGAAGTTTCCATAGCTGAAGATGTCACTGATAATGACTTGAAAGGAGGTGATGATAAACAACAACAACAACAACAGCAATCAGAATCCGAAGGAAAATTTGTGACACTGGATAGAAATGTAAGTGAGAAATTGTTTTCCTCGTAGAATTTTTCTTGAATGCACCTACTGCTTATTATTAGTTATTTATTTCATTCGTCTACATTTCAAGTGGATGGTTTAGTGATTCCGAATTTACTTCTTGTAATTGATCTCTCTAAATATGATTAAAACAAGCCTAGTTAGAAGTCGTAACTAGAGGTGTTAACTAAGTCATTTAAGAGATCAGTAACCTTATAACATTAGTAACCCCTTGTGGAATATATGCATATTACGGATTGGCATAATTTACAATCCTTGGGCCATTGGATCGGGTCCCAGCAGCTGAATCGTCTATGAGTTCACCTTGTATCTGGAAGGTAGTCCCAGGCTTGACACCAAAGTAGAGGAACTAACTGAATTAACACTGATGTTGAAAATCCGAATCTTGTTCTTTATGCTGACTGTGTGCAAAAAATTTACAAAGTGATTTCAGAGTGATGAAGACCTACCTTGCCTTTCCGATCCTGGTTATGATAACCTCTTATATGATGCCTGCAATTGAAATGCTGCTTCATAGAAAAGTGAAAGAAGTGACCTTGTTCAAATTTCTTCCATTGACAGTGATTGATGCTTGTTGATGCTGTTAGTTGGTTATCTTCATCACCTCCATAATCTCTTTGTTCACCTGGAGTCCTGCTTTTTCTGCTTCTTCTGTCAACTTGCTGGTTTCCGCCTGTAAGTCTTTGAGTTCACATGACATTAGACATAAATCATTCATCCGTGAAATCCAGATCTTCTAGAGTCTTCTTATCGGTCTAATGTATTTCTCTCTTTTTGCCCCCTCCCCCCACAGTCTGACACATAATCCAGTCCACCATGATCAGGAATATCATTGATGATAATAGGCAGCGTTGTTTTACTCACTTCAAGCATTAAAATCGTTTACCATATTTATTATTTCTTAGTTTTGTGATACACTCCCGACTTATGATTTAGTGTTTACCTAGAAAATGAAGCATAATGACTGCTAATATCCATTTCACCTTTCAATTTATTTATGTTTTTTTAGCGTAATTTGATTGACGATCAATCTATAATACAAGCCACTTCAAAAATACCTCCAAAATCTGTCAGACCTCGAAAACATGACTCATCATCCTATGTGTTTTCCACACCATGCCTAAGTGTTAATCGACCGTATGATGAAGAAACTGGCGGCGGCACTCCGAAAGCTTTACAAGATGTCTACAAGAAGAAAAGTAGACAGTATGTAAGAAATCAATTTCTACCAAATCAAAGATTACAACGTCCTGCTGCTTCAAGGCAACGTCATCTTTCACATAATTTAACACCAAACATTCCAACTATTGAAGAAGATCAAGTCTTGACCAAGTCTTGTGCTCATGATCAACTTCATGCGCCTACAACACCAAAAGAATTCAGTTCTGCAATTACATTGGCAAATCTTTACAGAGATAGACGAGGAATGCCTTTAGATCCAAATTCATTTAGTTCTGGTCTTATTCCAGGTTCTGTTATCAGCGGTTTAGCTACATATCCACAAAAGTTAGAAGTTTATAAAGTTGATTCAAAACCTGTACTGGTTGCATTACCTCATCAATCAATTACTGTTCAAGATTATTCACGTCCTCTTTACCGAAGTGATATATTTTTCAGGTAATTTATAAATTTTTTATGTGTATACCACTTTTCTTCGAAGTAGTTAGAGAGACAAACAGCCGTCATGATTTGAGTCCAGATGATTGGATATTTTTTTCATCCTTTCTAGACACATTACTGATTTTATAAAATGTTCTTCCATCTATTTATGAGTTCATGTTGGCGAGATTGTTTAAATAAGTATGGGTATGAGGACAAATACTCGTCTATGACCATTGGCTGGCATTTGATCTAAAATCGTAACCCGAAGTTTCTACCTTCACCCCTCTGTAGGGTCATGGATGCGCACTGTTGAAGAGTCCTAACTGGCGATTTCCCACCTTAGCCTCATAGTAGCAGAAAGAGATGACTGGAGTTTATTATCGTGTGTGGTGCCCGTAGTTATCTACCAGGCCGCGAAAGCCAACTCTTCTGGTACCGATTCTCAGTGGCAACATCATTACTCACTGGGGATGCAGGTACATCCAGTTATGACTCTCGAATAGGACGAAATGCGCATCCTGGATTCTACTCTTATTCATCATCAACCAGAAACACCATCATTTAAACTCCTCAGATATGATCGAAGTCTCCATACTAGGCGTCGACATACCTAAAGAGACTGGATATTTTCTGTCTGATATAATCAATCAACAAGAAATACAAATTAAATTTCTAAAAATCGTAAATAACGTGACGATAGAGTCAGTTCTTGTATACGGATCAGAAACTTGGCCAGTGTGTCACAAAGAATATTTCCAACAGCCTGTTGCAGACCTTTATCAACAACTGTCTTCGCTCTATACTGAAGATCAGATGGCCGGAAAGAATCACCAACAAGAAAATATGGAAACAAACAAAACAAGAACCAATCGATCATCAAATATGCAGGAGAAAGTGGAGGTGGATTGGACACTCTCTGAGGAGGCCGATGGGTGACATCACGCCAGGCCATAGCTCGAGTGGAACCCGAAAGGGAAGCGGCGAGTGGGACGTCAGTGCAAGGGTGACATGGAGGAGATCGTGTGAAGAGGATTTGAAACAGTATGGAATAACATGGATGCAGGTGAAAAGTACAGCAGAAGACAGACGCAAGTGGAGACATGCAGTTGAATCCCTATGTTCCACTAGGAACCCAAGGGAGCGATAATATAATAATAATAATGTGACGATAGAAAAAATCTTTTCAGTGTTAGCTTTGCCGTCTGTTTGCACGAAATAATCTAATATAGAATAGTTGATGGCTTTGACAACACCTTTATTTAGCCATACTGGTATTGGCTGTCGTTCTTGTAACTTAATTTTTCATCCTCAGGGACACCTACCAGTGTGTGGCTAAATAAAAGTGTAGTTAAAACTTTCAGCAGTTCTGTATTATATTATGTCGTCCAAATAGGCCACAAAGCTAGTTAGCTATCATTGAAGAGTCTTTCTCTATCATCTATCAGGTAGCAAATAAATTACCAAAGGCCGCTCTAGAAACTGGACTTTGCAAATACCAGAGGTCATTGTAATTCGCCTAAAACAACCCGAGTTCTATGTGCAAAAGAAACACGTTTAGCCAGGCAGCATTTCTATCCTGACCTGCCGTGCAACCCAAAACTTTATAAATTCTGTATTACCTTCCTTACTATATATTTGATAATCAATTTAGTTCGTGGTAGATTCGCATTGGGACATTCAACTGAGTGTTATGTTGATGCATATATAATCACTTGCAGATTCGTTTGAACTGCAATCTCTGTTTCTATTGCGTTGAACAAATAACATGAATTTATCATAATTCTTTGAGTATTTTGTTATTTGTGTTTAATTTATTTGTCACCTGACTCATTGATTAATTAGGGTTACTATAGTGAAAGTAAATATTGACGACGAGAATAATTAATTACAATGATATATTTATATAGGTCAAGAAAATAATACAAAGTCACCTTGGTGAATGAATGCGAGGAAAGAAAATAGGCGATGACCTTCCCATGTTTTTCTCTTTGTGTAATATACGTTTTACCTCTAAAGACTGGTCAGTGAATAGGGAATATTCTTTTCGACAACTCCTTTATCATGTTTTGTAACAAGAGAAGATATGAGACCTGGTAAACAACCTTTACTAAGGGAAAAAACACATCATATTTATCACATTTTTAGCCACTTAGAGGTTCCGCTAGATCAGAGGAGAATACCTTGTTCTGATTGGTCGATGACTGGCTCAAGGTTAAATAAGTTATCTATAATTTGGTTTGTAAGGGTTAGTTATGCTTTTACGAGTTAATCACGGATTGGGGTCGCACTAAATCACAAATTAGTAGAAGTTAGAATTCATGAGCCATTGAATCGGGTCCCAGTGGCTGAATGGTATAAAAGCCAGGTTGTCTTGTAACCGAAAGGTCCTGGGTTCGAACCCTGGCAGTGGGTGCGTACTTCCGATGATTCCCAAACTAGGATGAAACACCTGTCCAGTAATCCTGCCTGGTTTTCAATGGTTCTCTAACTGAAGTCAATCCATGATCAACTCGTAAATAAGTTGTTCAATGAGATTACCATCTCACTACAATGTAAATTAGATCCAGATTCGAGGAATAAACACCTCTACTTTTGCAACCAGCCACTGACTTAAAATATTGATTTGAATTTTGGCCGCTTTCAATTTAATCTATATCTACATACTACTTATAAATTTTGTCAGTAGCCCACACCACAGTTCTGCACTTATACTATATCCATAATATAGTCAGAGAATAATTCCTATTGGCAACATTATAGTTTTGTTTTTGTTTGTTTTGTAAAATAACATCGAATCATTGACAGTGAGATTCCAAGAGATATATGTAAATCGATTGTTAATAGATTACATCTGTGTATGCATGATAATATGCATAGATTGCATAAGTAAATGATCATGAATAATCGCGAATTAACAGTAAAGTAAATGCTCATCATGATTAATATTCATATTGAATTTTATTCAGATTGACTATAAACTTCATATGAAAGCATGATAATATTAAAAATAGGGAGAGAAAATGGAGTACAAGATTGTGTGTGTGCATGTTAGTGTGCGTCAGTGTTAGTGAATAACTAGGGATGCCTGAAAAGAGTAAAAACGTCTGTGTTATACAAGTGTTGTAATGACAAACAAACGGTGAAGGAAAGTCATACATACAGGATGGAAGGTCATGCCTAAAAAGATATGATATAATCATGTCAGGGTATCAATAATGGTTCGACTTGTTTCTTCTATATACACAAAGTCCCGGTTGTTTCAACCGAAAGGGAATGGCTTCTGTCATTTGGAGTATTTGGAACGTATCAGTGGTTTTAGGCCATAGTGAATGTTATTCAAGGTGAGCACTCATTACTATATATATATATATATATATATATATATATATATATATATATATATATATACAATGGATATATACTAGCTTAGATAGTTGGAGGCAATCGGCAGGAAGCCTTGGACCTAGGTTTCGTGCTAGTTGGCACTCACCAGTCAGCAAGGCGTATCTGCAACCTTGAATGAACTCATGTCCCTTCTGAGATCCGAACCCGCGTCACCCGGTGCTGCAGTCAGAGACGTTCCATATTTTCAAGGCTTCCTACCGATTGCCTCCAACTACCTAATATCACCAAATCAATGTGCACCGTGATGGTGAGCTACCTAGAATGGTGGCCACATTGGAAATACCTGACTACTAGGATTCAGTCTGCACCAAAGAAAGGACTAGACACGTTTCACTAGTTACTAGTGTCCAATCAAAATATATACGAGCTTGCCTTGTAACCAGAAGGTCCTGGGTTCGAATCCCGTGGTGTGATTAAGGACTTCCGATGATTCCCAAAACTAGGATGAAACAGCTGTCCACTACTCCCTCTGGCTGGTTTTCAGTGGTTCTCTAACTGACATCAATGCGTGGTCAACTCGTAATAACAAAACTAATCCTTACAAAGCAATCATAGAGGATGTATAACTGTAGAAGTTATCGAAAAGAATATTCTTTGCTCACTAATCTGCCTTTAGGAATTTATCACGAAGCATTCTTAATGAATAAATTTTACTGGGAGTTTATTCTTTTTTTAGTTATTTTATAAGAGACAGAGAAGGATGTATATAAAATAGTATTAGTGATTATTGTAATTTATTATTATTATTCTATCCTTGCGTACCCTGTGGAACACAGAGCTTCAACAGCAGAATTCCATTTCAACCAATTCCCTATAGTCCCCTTTAGCTGGCTCCATGAATACACGTGAACTGTCATCCCTTCACTCGATCTCTCCTATCCATTCGAGTTCCACTGCAGGGATTACCTTGTGTGGGGGATTTCACTCAAACTCCCATTTCCTTTGAAATGTTTGTTGGCCAATAGATTCTTTGTTAGTTCGTTTCTTATCAGAGTTCTATGAGGCTAATCCTATCTGGACGTGTGATCTTCGATATGGAGTGAAGACAGCTGTTGATGAGAGTTTTCAGTAGCCTGTTGAAAATGATGTTGATGATGCATGCATGCATGCGCCAAGTCTCTGAAACATACAGAAGCACTGATCCACTTAGCGTTTTTTGTTGAAGATTCGAAGCTTGTTACTTACGCTGATTTCAGTAATATTCCAAAATGATTTCAGAATAATGACAGTCTGCCTTGCTTTTTTCTTTCCAACCTTTGATTTTAATTTACTTCTAAACATAATCAAAGTATGTATATCAGCTTTCCTGTCCTGTTTATGACGTATGATGGTAATCGAGATGCATTTTGGCAAAAAGGAAGGTTTAAAACATTTGGTCCCTTTTATAAATTTGGATAGTGTTATTAGAAGACGGAGATTATCTGAAAAATGTGGTGTATTTGCGCTATACATTTCGAACAATCTGATCATATATTTACTTGTCAAGTCGATATATATGGAAAAAAATTAAGGGTAATTAAATTAAACAAAGTGAGAAAGAAAGGATTTAAGAATAATTAACACAACTGTTGGTAATCCAATCAAATAAGGATTACCAAGGTAGGTTTGGA